TTTTTCTGCTGCCACTGCTGCTTTCTGGAAGCCAGCCTCTCCCCAGGGCCCTTGCTCCTGGAAGAGCAGACCTGCTGACATTTGGCAGATTGATCACCAAAAGCTCTTACAGATCATCCTTCCAGAATGTACCACAAAGGTCTGTTCTTGATTCAAGTGTTCTGCCCCAAAATTTCAGTTCAATGCACAGCTGACAAGGAAACATCTACTGAAGGAGGTGCATAAAGCACCCTGGAAGTCCCTGCCTTGCAGAGATACACACGGTGCACTGAGCAGAGCCCACAGCTCACCACAATGAAGGTGCTCACCTACAAAGAACTCAACTTTTCATGTTTCAAGCACTGCTGGCTGCAAATACAAAGAAGTTTTACCAGTTAAGTCAGTTCCCTGAGTACAGAAGGGGACTAAAACTCAACTTTGCTTCCAGAAATAAGGAGGTGTCACCACATGATGCAGTGCTCCCTGAGCGGGCACAGGCAAGAAGAATTCTCACAGTTTTGGAACTACACAGCAAGCCCTTCTGCTCAATCAAATTATTTGGACACGATTCTCTTTCATGAAGAGCCTCAGACAAGCCCTGGAAAGGTGGATTTTCTCTCTGGCAAGCCTCAGGGCACAGATGCCCCCGAGCACAGGAAAGGGTTTTTCTCCTGAAAGGAGCCTGGAGAGAGCAGAGCTCTGCTCAGCACCCCCAGCAGTGCTGCAGCAACAGGGAACACAGGAATCCCAGCTCTGGATGCTGCTCCTCCAGCTCCAGGCCGAGCCAAACCCTCCCCTCCAACACCTAAACCCAATTTCTGCACTGGAATAACGGAGCTGGTTTCATCTTCAGGCATCTATAAACCACTTCTGATTTCCTGCAGCACCACGACTGCCATGCCTGCTTCCCTCTGCATAGAAACATCCCCTGTACTCTGCATTTGGAACTTTTCTAAGGGAATTTCCTTCTTCACTCCCTAGCTAGTGCCATACAACCATAATTAATAGAAATACCCTAAATAGAACCACTTCAAAAATTCATGCTTGCCCCTGAAACTCTCAATTTTTGTTACCTCTACAAACTATTTTTGCTTGTTAAAAAAAACCTAACTAGCAGATTCTTTTGCCCCCCACATTTATGTAAAAAATCCACACTGAAAGGCAGTTCGGTACCAAGACCAGACAAATAGCAAAATTGTGTTAAACACTCAAATTCAGAAGCTCTACTACAGAAGTGTATTTTATCAGCTGGATACCTTTCAACTACAGTTTTGTATTTGCAGGTGAAGACCTAAGACAAATAGCCACTTGCATCCCAAATATATTTGAATAGGAAGTACTGGAAATTGTACTATTTGGATTCCAACAGAATATAGATATGCTCTACAGGGAAAAAAGAAAAAGGGAGAAAAATGTGGTTTTCCTTCTTTCACAAAGGAAAAAAGGCTCCAAAAAGAAGCTTTACCCAAGGGAGCAAATCTGGTGTCCACACAGCCTATTTCATCACAATGTGCTTTCCAGTTAGGAAAAATCAGTCAGTCCTTGCAATCAGCCATCTGAAACCATTTACCTTTGTTTATTTTTGAGGTTGGGCCTCTCACAGGGATTGTACTCAACAGCAAAAATAGCCCCACACCTATATCATAATATTTACAATAGGGTGACCCCTTGTAGCATTTCCACCACAAGCACACTTGCTGCTGTAAGAATGGTGATTTACAAATGCTGTGCTGCTACAGGGTTTGAGAAACAACCCCAAAATAATGCAGCTCCAAGAATAAGCAAGAAAGGGCACGGGAGAATCTGCTGAGTAAAAATAACAGGTTTGTGAAATCCCTGCTTGGCTGGAGTCAGTTTTTGCAACCTCCTGAATTACAGGGAAAGCAAACTGAAAATTAAACAAACTAATTAAGCAAACAAAAGCAAAACTTCCTGCCTAGCAACTTTTGAAGGCAAATATCAGGAGCATCAATGCCCAAGTAGAGAATATACAGAATTTCTGCTGGGAGTCTCCTCCACAGGCATACAGCAGGAAGTTTCTGTCAAGTATTTAAGTTAAAAATTCCCAAAGAACAGAATACTAAAAGCAGCAGTGGGAGGTTCCAGCACCTGAACTGGGGAGGTTCCTCAGCACTCGGGAATGCCAAAACATCCCAGCCCAGGGCTGCAGCCTCAGCCAGGAGCTCCTGTGCCAGGGGCTGGAAATCCTGACAGCAAACCCTGACTTTTATCCCACAGCATTTCAGGGTTTTTGTTCTGAAAGCAGCTGGTATTTAACCCTCACCACCCCGTGGCTCTCCCTCCTGTGCTCTGCACCCAAACCTGAACAGCAGCAATGTTATCCCACAGTCATTGCTCCAGTGCCAGCCCAGGAACTGCTGAAATAAGTTAAAAGTTTGGGTAAGAACAGATTATAATTTCTCAAGCACAGAGCCATGTGCTCATTCTTCCAACCAGATGTTTATCCCTCCTCCCAAAGGTAGCCAATTGACTTAATTTTATAATTTTTAAACTTTTCAGTGATGCCTTAAACTTCACTGGGAAAGAATCAATAAGATCATTAGTTCTCCTTTTCCCTTTCTCCTCTGGAAACGAAATAATCTTAATGTAAAAAAGAAAAATCTATTCATATGGGCACCAGAAACAAAGTTCTCTGGCACATACAAACATGTTTTCAGATTAGCTTTGGTGCCCATTAAATAAAAAGTGCTTTTGACTGGAGCTGTCAGCTTTTTCCAGTTACTTTATTTGCTCCTTCCTGCAAGAATTTTGCAGGCATTGTAGCTCTGTGATCTGCTTTTTCTCTGGCTACCACCCCTATTTTTAAGCTTAGAGAGGCAGATAATGAGGGAAGGAGCTGCTTCGTTACTACAAAATTCTCTGCTCAGGGGCAGTGGCACAGGAGGAAGTTTTTGGCAGAGAATTATTTGCATTAGTAGGAATAATAAACCATTTTCCATCATGAAAACTAAAGGCTGCATCCTGGAAAGGGAAAGATTGTCTATAAAAACAGCTGAGAGTTTACATTGCTGCTGAGAAACGCTGATAAAATTAATGTGCACTTTCCAAGAACAGGAATCACAACGTTACAGAAATGTCAACAGTTTTCTGTAAAAGTTTGGGAACACATTCCTAAACATTTCTCCTTTTCCATTTTGCAGCTGAAGGACTGAGGAACAATCCTGCAATAACCCCTGAAGTAGAGAAAACTAGCAAGTGAAGGTAAGTAATGGACTTTAAAAGTTACCACCTTACAGAAAGACCATGAAAATACACCAACACATCTTACATGGGGCAGCTAATACAGCACTGAGCAATTCACATTTTAAATCATAACTCGGCAAAAATAACAACGGGAAGCAAACTCACAAATCCTCAAATACAGTCACAGCCACTGAAAAGAATCTCTCAGGATGCAAAGTGTACCTGAAACTCAGGCCTGTAAGTGAGGCTGCCCTTCATCTGCAGAGGGATCCAAACGAGCAGGAGGAACAGGAGAACAGCTCTGCGCTTCACCTGGGATTATATTTGCTTCCAAAACCACGTTCCTGGTGGTGATGTAAGAGGCAGTAACACAGCAGAGTGACTGCCAGTTGCCAGGTGAACAGCCACTAGCAAGAAGCAGTTTTATTTATAAACGCAGTGCCTTTGCTGGAGAGGTATTTGAAGATGAAATGAAAAATACTCCCATGTAAAACAAACCCAATGGGGAAAAGGTGTCACATTTGTAGGTGTGCAAACCTACAGCCAAACGTGTTCTGAGGGAGCATTTGTCAAATTACTGCTGAAGTTCACTGCCATATTTAGTCATTTCCAAACTGAGCCCATTTCTCAGATTTTGTTCTGTGACCCTCAGGGGCTGTGCCTGGCACCTCTAACACACAAACCAACCCCCAGGTGACATTATTCCAAAAGCAGGGGACAAATTTTCCATGGCTAAAGAAAACCAGAGCCATGCACCACCACCTCACCCTTTTGTACACCTGCACATGAGACACTCCACGTGGAACATTCTGGAACATTCCCGCTGCAGGCAGCTGGGGTGGCTCGGGAATGGGCCAGGAGAGCTGCAATTCCTGCAATTCCTGCAATTCCCTGGCTCTGGGAAGGCAGCTCAGCCCCAGCCCTGCGTGCGCCAAGGCACACCCACACAGGCTCTGCCAGGGCAGGAGCTGCCATCCCTCTCTGTTGACTCTGACATGGAATTTGCCATTTTAAACAGAGCCAGAGTACACAGGCAGCACAACGGCATCAGCAAGTGTTGCTGTAAAGCTCCTCCTTCCCTGCAGCTCTGCATCCAGGCCTCTTCCACGGCAGCAGCTGCACGAGCACAGCACTTTGCTGCTTTAAAAGGAGCCTCGCAGGACTGGGACTGACACCAGGAGCTATTTAGGGGAAAACTTGTGTCATGTGCTGAGCGGGGCACCCGGCAGCTCCTCCCTGCCAGGACTGGGTCCTGGAAGCTCAGGGGAAGCTCCCACCAGGGCTGCTGCAGCTCCTGCCAGCCTTCCCTCCTGGCTGGCACAGCCTCGCAGGGCTCCCTGTGTGTGCAAAGCCCTGGGATGAACAAACACGGCTGAGTTTGGCACGGGAGTTCAGAGCTCAGCCCCTGATGGCAGCAAGAAGAGCCCCGCTGAGGCTGTGCTCAGGAACAGATCCCACTCTCCCACTCGGTTCTTTAAGCTCGTGGCTTCTCTCCAACACAGTCCTGAGCTGTCTGAGCCATCACTCATCTCTGCAAGGCTCCTGAGCCAGCTCCTCCCCAGCTTCCTTTCAAAGCTTGCCAGGGGCTGAGGGGAATGACAGCCTTGCCGGATGGCACCTGCCCTACAGGTGAATCAGCCATTTCCCACTTTTATTTTAACAGAAACAAAGATTTCTATAGAGACATTCATGACCAGAAATCTGCTCCCCACTCCAGAAGGCCACACCAACAAAAATCCATCTGAAAGCTCACCCCCACTGCTGGGGGACCCCCACAGTAGAAACCAGCTGGGGCTGTGCTGAAGTGAAGCCCATCAACACTTGCTCATCCTGGGCTCTCATGTGCATCGAGGAACATAAACTGGATGGCTTTAGTTTGAGTTTTTCCTCAGAGAGAACAGAAGAAAGGAGGCCTTCATTATGGCTTAGGATTCCCAGGACTCTGCTCTGGGTGCGACACCAGGGACCCCTCGACTTGCTGGATTTCTTCTATGGTCTGTAACACTGGCTTGGATTGGCTCAACCTCGATGCTTTTGCTACCCATCACTTGATTAAATACCAAGAGATCACACCACTAAAACAAGGGTTCATCCTCTATGACAAATCCCACCCCCAAACAAGTACTGCACCAAACAGAAACCCCAAATCCAATTTATTTCAGCTGCTATTGAGTAAAACGCCTAGGCGAGCTTCCTTCCCGTGCTGCTGGAATTCTTTTGCTACCACTGGAAAGCCTCTCAGTGGCTGCTAATCAGGCAGGATCCACGGGCAGTGAACCATAGCTGGGGTTAGCTGGGGGCAGGTTCTGCTAGGCAGCACTAACCACATCGGAACACCCAGGAGGCTCTTGCTGGAGATTAGGGAACTCCAAGAAAAGAAACCACTCGAGCAGCTTGGAGAAATTTCCCAGGCCCTCACCTCTGCCTTCAATCACGCCAGCAAAGGCAAGGCCGTGGTGGCTGCACCCCGCGGCCCTTGCTGGGCGGTGTGTGTGCTGCAGCAGCCATCCCCGTGCCTGGGTCACACACACCGCCCTGCCCCGGCTGCCCTACAGCACCGCCCACAGCCCCACAACAAGGAACGAACCCAACCTGAACAAATGCACAACAATGCCGGTACAGGGCTCTGAACCCAAACTACCAACCAAAACCACGAACAAGGCAAACGTGTACGTTTCCCCTTCTACAACAGTGAGGATTTCTTTCAATATTTTGGTTTGTTTTGCTGACATCACTCGCCACATTTAAGAAATTCTCCAGGGATGACTGAAATGCTGTGATAATTGACGGCCAGTGACTCGGATACCACGTACACCCTGCTGTGTGCAAGGTGTGTGCGATTTCATCATGGAAGACTATTGGGAAACCATTTTTCTTATTTAACTTCCCGCACGGGAATGCCGGTACGAACACATCCACGCGTCTCCTTTCGAGACGCGTCGCACACCCGGCTCAGGGCAACATCGCCCGCAAGGACATTGTATTGCTGAGCTGCTACAGTTACCGGAGCCGGGCCTTTGTTACACCCGGCGCCGCCGGTCCTGCGCTCCTCCCGGCGCCGCCGGGGGATTCTCCAGCACGGCGGGGATGAGCGAGGACAAGCAGGACCGAGCCGAGCCGGGCCGGGCCGGGCGGCGGTGACACATCGGCGGTGACAATCGGCGGGGGTGACACGGCCCCCGGCCGGCCCGGCCCCTCCGGGCGCTGCTGCCCCGCCGTGCCCGCGGCTCCGGCGCTGAAGGCCGGGCCGGGCAGGGCCGCTCCCCGCCGGGGCTGGCCCCGCTCCCGCAGCCCGCCTGCATCCTGCCCTGCGCCGGGCGTGCCGCGGCAATGGCGTCAGGAGCAACCTGTCAGCGCCGCCTGCCTCCCCCTCATCCTCATCCTCATCCTCATCCTCATCCTCATCCTCCTCCCGCCGCCCCCGCCCCGCGCATCCCGAGCCGGCCCCGCCGCCGCTCACCCGCCGCGGTGCTTGCTGTCCATGCGCTTCTTCTGCCGGACCGGCTGCAGCGGGATGTTGTCGGTCATGGCCGCGGCTGCGGGGCGGAGCGGAGCCAGGGATGCTCCGGCTGCCGGCAGCGCCCAGCCCGGCCGCCGCCGTCTGGCGGCACCGCCGAGGGGCCGGCCCGCCGCCGCCGGCTCCCAGCACGCAGGTGCCGCTGCCGCCCCGCCCGCCCGCTCCGCCCCCGCCGCTCCGGGCACCGGGCACCGCCACACCGGGCACACCGGGCACCGCCGGCACCGGGCACCGCCACACCGGACACCGCTGGCACCGGCACACCGGGCACCGGCACACCGGGCACCGCCGGCACCGGCATACCGGGCACCGGCACACCGGGCACCGGCACACCGGGCACCGCCGGCACCGGCACACCGGGCACACCGGGCACCGGGCACCGGCACACCGGGCACACCGGGCACCGGGCACCGGCACACCGGCACACCGGGCACCGGCACACCGGGCACCGGGCACCACCGGCACCGGGCACCGCCACACCGGACACCGCCACACCGGGCACACCGGGCACCGCCAGCACCGGGCACGGCCGCTCCGAGCACCGCCAGCACCGGGCACTGCCGTACCGGGCACCGCTGCACCGGGCACCTGGCACCGCCTCTCCGGGCACCGGGCACCGCCACACCGGGCGCGGCCGCTCCGGGCACGGCCGCACCGGCCGGCAGTGATGCTCCGCTGGCCCGGCCCGAGCGCCGGCGCCCGGCGGCTCCGCGGGGCCGGCTGGGGTCCGGTGGGGTCAGAGCAGCCGTGCCCCGATCTGCCCTGCTCTGCCCTGCCCTGCCCTTCCCTGCCCTGCCCTCCGCCCCGTGCTGCCCGTTCCGTGCCCCCGCTCGTTGCCCGTTCTCTCGCAGCTCGCTGGGCGCTCCTGCCCTGCCTGTTCCGCCTCCCGAGCTGCCCCAGCTCCGCTCCCGCCCGCGGCACGGGCTGGGATCGCGCTGCTGCCGCTGCTGCTCGCAGCCTGCCTGCTCCTGACCTTCACCCGCTCCTCCCAACGCCCGTTTCTGCATCCAGAGTCAGATGTCCTGGGCACTTTTAGGCACAAATTGCTCCAGCACTTCAGTTTCTGATTTCAAGCATCTCATTACACTATGGATTACAGCAGCACAAAACCTGCAACTGATGTTTTCCCTTACAGTTGAAGCAGAGTCATCCTGACATTTTGCAATGAGGGCATTTCAGCAAGACCATGGAGAGTTACACCAATTTCAGGCACCAGTCTGAGGTGGTTAGATAGGTATCTCCAATGCCATCCTAACTTGGGCTGTCTTGTTACAAAAACTGTTTGTAGGGTTGATTTTTAGGCTGTATTTCAATTAAGTGATACCATGTTTTAATTTATTATTTCCCAATCTACTGTTCTTACCCCCTTGTAGAGACAATTGAAGTAGAAACAGAAATCCTTTCTCCCACAAACAGTTTGGCTCACAAAACATATTTGTTCTATTTTTTCTCATATTCTACACCTGAATTTTTTTTTATATGAAAGGGTATGATGCTAGAATTCACTGCAAATCATAATTTCATAAAAGGAGCAAGAAGAACCTAAACACGACCTTGTCAGACTGTTGCCACAAACCCACTGCCCTAATGCTGTACAGGCTGGAATGCCAGTCTGAGCCTCCAGCCTCGATTAAAGCAAAACTTACCAAATGCCAGTTTTTATTTGCTTTGATGTGAAAGTGGCACTGGATTTGAAAACACCCCACATTCTTTTATGCCCTTGACACCTTTGTACTCAGACAGAACTTGCTCCTTTCCATGGAGCAGCTGAAGCTCCTCCACGTCACTCCTGCCCCTCTTCAACATCCCAGAAGGTGGGAGAAGGAAGCACTGGCTGCTGTCGGGTGGCTCAGCCCCAGAAATCCCAAAGGACGAGCAAAGGGATGCCCTGCAGGCTCCCACAGCATCTGAGGAGCCAGACAAGCGCTCAGAGCCTCCTTTATGGGCGCTCTGTTCTGCTTTGTATTGAGACACTTCTGGTTTTCAGTTAGAAAATCACTCTGGAGGGTCTAGACCAGGCTGTAGCCCAATGGACTAAACCCTCTCCTTGTCATATTGCTGCCAAAACATTTGCTTTGCTGGAAGGATCCCTTGTGATCTCAGCAGCACTCACAGCAGGTACGAGCCCTCCTGGTTTCCAAGCCTTTGATTTTCAGTCTCCTACTGAGAAGGAATGCCCAAGGGAAAACCTCCAGCCTCAGTCAGAGAAGTTAGAATTGTTAAATCAAGTGAAATAAAACTGATTTTGGTTTTTTTCCCCTGATGCCAACAGCATGTTTTGATGCTCTATTTTTGCAAGCACAGAACTTGAGGCTCACAAAGGAGCCCTGCAAGCTCCAGAATGAATACTGCATCACTACTAATTAAAAGGAACTGAGATATTTTCCGTAATTTTAAATCATTATCTATATTATTTTGGTTTGGTTTTTTTTCCAGGACTTTTTCCCCCCCAGATGATCAAATTAACAACAGAGCAAGCAGTTTGATGTGATCCCAGCAAGTGATTTATCTTAGAACCAGAGCTGGGCCACTTGACCCCTCTGAGGTTGTCCCGTCAGGAGAGTCCATCAGGGGCTGTCGCCGTTCTCACCTGTGCACCCCATAAATCCCATTTCAGCCCAGGAATGGTTTACTGGCAGGTCCAAGGCTGAGGCTCATTTTGCACATGAAGGCTGGGTGAAGGCAGCAGGCTGTGGACTGGGGTGATTTTCCCCCTTTTCCCTGAGCAGGCAGCACGAGCACACCCGCTTTGCCAGCAGGATTATGATGGTTTTTGGACTGAGTCTCCCACGGTTCAGGCTCCCATGGACCAGTGGGAGCTGAGCCTGGCAAAGCCTATGGACACAGCTGGCTGCAGGTGCATCTTAACCACACAGAAATTCCTGTGTCCATCAGTGTCTGCCACAGTGTCCCACTGGGTTTGGGAGCCTCTCCTGCCTCGTCCCTGGCCTTTCTCGGCTGCAGCTGCAGAGCACTGTCCCCTCCTGCCCTGCAGCCTTGCCTGCTGCTCTCTGCCCACCACACCAATTTCTCACCCACCCTGAGGCCTTCAGGGCCCCACCGATCCCCAAATGCACCCAGGTCTCTCAGCTCCACCGATCAAAGAACATGGAAATAAATTGGATTTTGGGGGCCTGCCCGTACTCCTTCAAGGAGCAAGTCCTGGTGCCATTTTCCCACTCAAACAATGGATGGGTGGTTCTGACAATGCATTTACAAACTGAACTCATTACCTGTTTAGCACAATATGCTATAAATTTTCTTCCATTATAGTTTGCTACTAAATAAATAATTGGTGGTTTTATGCATAGGACTATTTTTTTTTCCTGATGAATACAGAGGAAAGTCATAATAATTATATCCTGTTTGACTTCTTATAAGCTGAAAGATTAATTCAATTTTGGAACTATTTTTGGGTTTGTTTATATATTTACCCTAACCATAATATCAAAATATAGAGAATTCTGACATCTAAGGAGTTCCCTCAGATTAAGGGTGTATGACTGGTTGAACAAAATGTTTATAATTCCACAAGCAGCCCGAGCTGTACCACTATTCTTTGTACCTGTTCTTATCTGATTCCATAAGTGCATGTTTCACAAACACCAGGGTGCACCCTCTTTGTCTGGAAGCACAGCCCGTTGCAGGTGGCATTTGCAGCTTTGTTCAGGGCTGGTTTGCAGCTGCCCCGTTTGTGAGCAAGGCAGGAAAAGGGATTTGGTTGCCAAGGGCAAACGGGCAGCACTCAGCTCCTACACTGGGATCATTCCCCGTGCTCTGACTCACTCCCAGTGACAGCAAAGGGTTGGTTTGGGGCTGTCAAACATTACAGGCCTGGGCTGTGGTATACAACTCCCCAAAATCACAGCCTGGGCTGTGGCATTCAACACCCCAAAATCACAGCCTGGGCTGTGGCATTCAGTCCCCAAAATCACAGCCTGGGCTGTGGCATTTAACACCCCAAAATCACAGCCTGGGCTGTGGCATTCAGCACCCCAAAATCAGAGTCTGGGCTGTGGCATTCAGTCCCCAAAATCAGAGCCTGGGCTGTGGCATTCAGTCCCCAAAATCAGAGCCTGGGCTGTGGCATTCAGTCCCCAAAATCAGAGCCAACCTGCCAAAGCCAAAGCTGCCCTTTCCCAGCCCAGCTCTGACACTGCTGGGATGGAGCACTGAGAGCCAGGTGATGCCTCAAGTTTTAGCTCTCATATTTTCCAGATTCTGCACTGCACT